TTTATATGATGGAGAAATTAAGGAAGCTGAAGAGGGGGTTGTTTTTGAGTCAGATCATTATATCCCCTTAACCTTGAAGAGAAATATCACTCTTGAGGAGTTAATCACAAAAATTTCGTTAAAGATTCGTGTAGCTGGCCGGAGAAGACTATATTCACTTCATTATAGATTTCCTACTGAACTTTTTCCACTCACGTATACATCATTTCAGCTTTCCAACGATCATGATGTTTCTATGATGGTTGATGCTCATATGGGGAGTTCACAATCTCTTATTGAAATGTATGCCACTTTTATTTAGGTTCGTTCTTCTCGTGGTCTCTCATATTCCTCTCACTTTTGGCATTGCATATCATGTTGATCAAGTTGATAGTCTGACGCAACTGATCTGTAATGATTTCACATCATTAATGGCAGATCCAACGCCAGATGTTATGTCATCAAGTTCTATAGGAAGACTTTAATCAGCAACTGTTTATGATCTCAACCCACGTGGTTTCACCAATAATCCATATGGCAACATCTCTTCTACTTCAAGAGGCAGACATTCATCTGCCAATGTTTTCGACTTACATATGGAAATGTCATCGAGACGGCAGTCTATTCATATCCCACATGATACAATGGCCTCAAGTTCAAGGGGAGGACAAGCAAGTGGGAACTTATTTGACCTCAATATTGGATTATCGGAGGAACCCTCATCTCTACCAGAAGAACCTCTTCGGGAGCCAGGTGCAGATGGTGCTGAAACGGGATTATTCGTTGAACTTGACTCACCACAATTTAACGTATATTCTGATGATGATGAGGATGATGTTTCGATAAATACAACACCAACCGAACTTCCTGCACATATGTATGGTGCTGATTATGATTCAATGTACGAGCTTGAATTTTCGGATCTTCCTGATGTTGGCAACTATGGACTTCAGTCATCAGTCACCGACGGTGATTTACATATTGGAATGGAGTTAACATCGAAGGAGGAAGCAATGATGGCAATAAAGAGTTACAATATTCGTAACTCAGTTCAGTCCCGAGTTGATCGATCTACCACGCAGAAATATGTCTGCTACTGCGTTCAACGTGACAACGGATGTCAATGGATGGCCTGTGTATCAAAGAGGAAGAGAAAGAACAACTTATGGGAACTAACTAGATACAACGGTCCTCATACGTGTTGTGCAATGGTATAAACCTAGATCATCCCAACTTGGACTCCAACATTATTTGCCAAGCAATCATACCCATTGTGAAGCAAAGCTCTCATATAGTTGTTGCAATGTTGATTTATGCTATACAATCACAATATGGGTACACCGTCTCCTATAAAAAAACTTGGTTAGCAAAACAGAATGTCATTTGCAAACTTCATGGCGAATAGGATTCCTCTTACAACGAGCTGCCCAGTTGGTTTCATGTTGTGCAAAGACTCAATCCTAGGACAATTGTTGAGTTCGAAACTCAACATCATTATGTGAATGATCGAGTGGTTCGCGATCGCAACCAATTCTACCGTGTCTTTTGGACTTACCCTCAGTGTATTAATGCAGTCAAGTACTGTAAACCAGTTGTCCAAATTGATGGTACTTTCTTGTATGAGAAATACAAGTTAGTTTTATTATTGGCTGTGATCCAAGATGGAAACCGCAATATTCTTCTTGTTGTGTTTGCCCTCGTTCAAGGGGAAGACACTGAGTCCTGGGCATTTTTCCTTAAAAATTTATGTTTACATATTGTCACCAGGGAACGAGTATGCATTATTTCAGACCGAGGAGTCGGGATAAAAGCAGCAATAGAGTCATTGGGTACAATGTATAGACCTCCACATGTTCAACATCGTTATTGTGTCCGTCATATTACTGTAAACTATTACGGAAAATACAAGAAGAACGATGAACGTCAGTTAGTCGTGCGGATGGGTATGTTACTTTTTCCCAATTTTTCTATCATTTTTGTATTACTTATTTATACTTCATATTAACTATTACATATTCCTAATAGCTTAGGTTACGAACTCTTACCTCAAAGTTTTGAGTTTATGCTACAAGAGTTGTTTGGCAAAAATAAAAAGGGGTGCGAGTACATTATGGACATCAGTAAAGAAATGTGGATAAATGCATATGACGGGGGTATCGCTATGGTCATATGACAACCAACTTGGCTGAAGAAATAAATTCAACCTTAAAGGGGGCGCGTCATTTACCAGTCACGGCGTTGGTCAAAACGACTTATTTTCGTTTGGGTTAACTCTTTGCAAAGCTCGGTGGACAAGCTCTTATTTGGATGCAAAACGACCATATTTACCATTCAAGACTAGTAGCTGATTTACAGGGAAAATGGTTGCATCAAATGGGATGTTGGTTACAAATTTTTCTCGTACCCGTGAATTGTTTCGTGTAACCGAATTGCCACGTCCGCTGCAAGGGATTGAAGTTAACTCTTTCAGAGTTAATCTGCAAGAGATGTGGTGCGATTGTGGTTTCTTTCGAGCACTCAAATATACATGCTCTCATGTCATTACAGCTTGCTCACATTCACATTTGGGCTACAAAAATTATCCCGTATACCAACTTTCACAAGTATTCAAGGTATATGAATTTGAGTTTCTGCCCATAGGAAACTAAAGAGACCCAGATGAGATTCAAACTTGGCTTACAATTGTACCAGATCCATTGCTTTTGAGGGACTCGGGTCGTCCAAAATCTACTAGAATACATTGTGATATGGATATTCGGGAGAAGTCAACAGAACAAAAACGATGTGGGCATTGTAGAAACATCGGGCACAATAGAAAAAAATGTCCAGCTCTGTTATCATCACATAACTGTTAACCCTTATGTAATTAATATTCTATTTAAATGAATATTTTTGTTTCTAATATTTAAATATAATTGCATTTTCTATAATTTCTCAATGTATGTACACCTAAATAATTTTTTTAATTTTTATTTAAAAATTATTTTATGATATTTATTTAATATAATAATTAATATTATTTATTATAAAAAATTAATTATTAATTTTAAAATATTATAATAATTCCACCTTCTAAGTAGAGAAAAAAATGTTAAATTAAACAAATTAAAAGTAAGACTAAATTTATAAAAATATGTAACTATTGAAGATTAAATGTGTAATTATACTAATTTTATTAACTTATGCATCAATATTTTTTTTAAATATTAATAACAAATTACTATATTGATAACATTTAGATAATTAAGTGATCAAATTAATAGATCGATAATAAAAAAAATAATAGATATATAAACAACACGTGTAATATTATAATTTCATACATTTTTCCTATAACTACAATAAGATCAAAGTTCGTTTTCATCTATTATTCCATCCGATTAATGTCGCGTGGAATGGATGAATACCAAAGTCCCTGAAACATATAACACTAAAACTTAAATTCGCTCCACCTTTAACACACAATTAAAAAATACATTCGATAATTCTTAAATTATAATCGAAACACTTTACATAATATATTAATTATTTATAATAATAATAAAAATAAAATCTTTATTATTAAAAGAAATACCAGTGTGAGATCTGATTCAGCAAAACCTATATAAAACGCATCCCCAGGGATGTGCCTTTCACACGTAGCATCCGACTCAACATAAAATCAAATAAAGCACGTCCTCGGAGATGCACCTTTGTGTCACCTCAAATGAAAGAGTGTTACTTCGAGAAATATTGATCAACGGGTGTTAAAACGAAAGAATTTAAAAAAAACGGGTTAATTAGGTCAATCATTCATTCATGACTTTAGTTATACCCCGGGAATATTTCGGGCTATCCCTTGAAAATTGTATCCCACGTATCATTTATTCGGAGTATCGTACTACCTAGATAACGATAATATTATGATTAGATCTCTAACAACACATATTTCGTCAAAGATGAATCTACAGTCATCGTCATCATAAGTCTGACCATATCTTCTCTTCGATGTTGGCTAGCTCTTTCTCCGTCAAAATCAGAAAAATAAACAGACAACAAATGAGCAACAACACTTATTCCCATCACCAATATTAATTTTATTTAAAGCAGAAATGATAATTCTGTTTGCATACAGTGACGGAACTAAATAGGCAGTGAGAGGCTTACACAGTCGCCCACACTCGTGAACCAACCGCTGGTCCCGTGGCTCATCAACAGTATGGTCTGTGCACGCTCTAAGCTGAATGTTCTTGAAGTTTTCATCCCTTTATACACCAAGCCACGTTCGAGGGATGGCCAGTACATTTGGTAAAAAGACGGGACTATAATTCACTTTCACAACAACCCAGAACTAACCACAAACCATTCATAATTGTTCTGTATCATTACATAACTTTTCCTTTTGTACTGCTACTTTTTTTTTGGCTTTTTCTTTGGCCTTTGTGGTTAAGCCGATTTCGGTAAAAAGACGAGACCGAGACGTTAAACCCCGATGTGCTGTCCTGACGCGTGGCCTCGGATTCCTTTGCTTTTGGAGTTGGGTTAGCCGGGTACCCCTCGGTTCAACCAAAAGTAGGAGAGATTCCAATGGACGTGCCAGCGTCTCAAAGTGATCTTTCCAGAGAGGTGAAAAAAGGGTGGGGTCCGATTCAGTGTGCAGACCCGGTTTTCACCCTCTTTTAAACCCATCCCTTCCTTGGGAAGTGGGCATCTTTGGTTCCTTCTTGTTATATCCACAAAGCATATATTCAATCGTACCTCGCAATTATTGCCCCTTGAAATATGGGAAATGATCCACTTGGCCAAACATTACGAGGTCTTCTTCATTTACAGCTTTGCGATAAACTGTGTGCTTATTTTGTCATTTGCCTAGAATTAGACACACATTTTTATGTTTTCCTTTTAGAGTTGGGTCTTGAATGGAAAATCTTTTTATCTTAAATCTGAAAAGATTTTGCACTGCACACAAAGTAAAAAACCTAATAATGATGGAGAGAACTAAAGAGCAATGATACATGAAAAAGGTGAAAATAAAAGGCTAACAACCAAATAAAGAGAGATGATAAAAGGAAGGTCATCCCTATCATCATAATAATAATCATCTTCTCAATACACACAAATGAACAAATGGTGAAAATATGAGCGAAGTGGGGATTTTGTTCAGTTGGTGGGGTTGCTGCGGAAGGATCCCAAAGCCTTGATGGCTGCTGCTCGGAGGATGTACTGGTGATATACAGCTGCTGCAAGTGCTCCGACAAATGGACCGACCCAGAAAATCCACTGCTCATCACAAAAATAATGCAAGAGTTAGCTTAAACTCGAAGACAGACAATAAAATGTAGGATTATGACACTTACATGGTCATCCCAGGCTTTCTCGTTGTTATAGATGACAGCAGCGCCGAAGCTCCTAGCAGGGTTGATACCAGTACCAGTGATGGGGATGGTAGCCAAGTGAACCATGAACACAGCGAACCCTATGGGGAGGGGAGCCAAAACCTATACACAAAACAGTTTAAACTGCATCAAAAGCGTAGCTTTCAGTGAGCATTAACAGTTTCGAAAACATCGATGAAAATACATACAGGGACGTGAGAGTCGCGAGCGCTTCTCTTTGGGTCGGTGGCTGAGAAAACAGTGTAGACAAGGACGAAAGTCCCAATAATCTCAGCTCCTAAAGCAGTTCCCTTGTTGTAGCCAGTCGCCACCGTGTTAGCGCCACCACCAAGGGAGTTGTATTCATGTTTCATGAAAGCCTTAACCAGCCCAACTCCACATATGGCACCCAAGCACTGAGCCACCATGTAAGCCACAGCCCTAATCAACGACACTTTACGGGCCAAAAACAACCCGAAAGTTACCGCAGGGTTAATATGTCCTCCTGTAACCAAAAACCCCGGAAAATCATTAGCAAACAGCAAATATAAGGGTACTTAGTTTTTTTAACTTCATCTTGTTTTTTACCTGATATACCGGCGGTGCAGTAAACAAGGATGAAGATCATGCCACCAAAAGCCCATGCAATACCCAAGAGACCAACGCCGCCACAAGCGTCGGTTTGTTTTTTGTGGCCAATAACGGTGGCGACGGTGACGTAGAGGAAGAGGAGAGTAGCTATGAACTCGGCTATGAGGGCTCTGTAATAAGACCATAGCTTGAGTTCGGCCATGTCAATCAGAGGTGCTGGTGGAGGGTCCACATAGTCCTTCCGACCCTGTCCTTCTTCACTCACTTCCTTAGACATTGTTTAGAACCTAGTCAAGCTTTCTTTCTTTTTTTTGATTTTGCCTTGGCTTGGCTGCGCTTAATCTTATTGTGAACCAACTTTCTTTGTGCAACTGAGTTCCGTCTCAAGTCACTCCATTTTAAGCTGGTGTCAAGGGGCAGCACAAATGGTGCATTTCTGGATAAAACAAGGGTAGTTTGGGAATGTGATTATAGTTTGGGAATAATTAAACAATAAATGAGAAGGTAAATAAAATTATATAGTCGCTTAGCAATTATTTTAATTTATTTTATTCATTAAACTATTTCTTTTCTAAAAGAAATCATAATATTTTATTTTATTTTATTCTTTAGTTATAAAAAACTAATATAATTGTTAATATTTTATTTTTATAATTTTTAATAATGATTTTGATATTATTTTATGATGATTAAAATAGAATTAAAATATAATATTAATAAGTCTTCAAAAAAAATATTAATAACACATTTTTAAAAGTAATTGAATAATCGATAACCATGGACGTAGCTTCCTTAAGGTTCTAGGAATCTAGACTCTTGTTAAAATTTGTATATTTGATATAATTTTAATTTAATAACATTTTGATTTTTGTAAAAATAAATATTTAAATTTAAAAAATATAAAAATTATTAACTATTTAATCAAGTAATGGTCAAACTAAGGAATGATAAGTATGAGTTTTCAAATTTTTAGTCTAATTACAATTTAAGTCATTGTAAATTTAAATATTAGACAAATTAGAAGTTGTCTTGTGAATTTTAAGTTTTTTTATTATAAATTTAAGGTAAATGCAATGTACTATATGTACAAAAGACTTTCAACTATTTGACAATTAATGCTCATACCCCTACATACGCCTCGGGACCTTAAGAATAAATTTCAAGTTTAAATATATAATTAGTCTTTATACTTTTCTTAAATAATCTAATATTTCGATATCTGTCAATATTTAATTTTGACTTCGTCTGTGTCAATAACCTAATAAAAATAATAATTGAGTGAGATATAAACTTTATCCTAAACTAAATTAAGAGTGTGATTCATATAATAAAATTATATACTAACATTTTGTTTATATTAATGGATATAATATTGTTAAGTGAAATGGAAGAAGTGAGGGTGGGGCCTGGGGCTGTGTATTGTACAGCGAGACCATGGGAGGGTGTGAGGACTAGAAGCAATCATCTCTCTCAAAGAGGGGTTGCAGGGGTAAGCCTGCCATCCATTCAATGCCACGCTTAAAAACAACGGTCAATATCTTGTCATTTTTATCTCTCTTTTTTCTTCAAAATTTTTATATTTTCTCCCATAAATTTATTCGAATTTCCTACAATGCCCCTTACATGTCTTCCCATTATTGGGTCCCTCCCCTTGCTTCCCACGTCATTTCATGATGCCATTTCGTTTCCGCCAAGTTAATTTACTGCCTTTGTTTACGCATAAATTTATCTGAAGTTATTTTTTAAAATCACAATATTTCATTGTCTCAAATGACAAATAAATGGCATCGAAAAGGAATTTTGCATTATCTTTCAAAGTGATTTTTTATAAATACCAATTAAAAATATAATACTTTTTAATCCAACATGTAAAATCAAAAATAATATCTATATATCTAATAATAATTCAAAGTATAAGGTTAACACTCGAACTATTTCTCTCTCTTTAAGGTAAATGTAAGAGACATCACCTTACTTGAAGCAACCTCAAAACTACACAAATGTCTGCTTCGAGCAATCGTAAGTGGTTCGGGATATGGAACACCTGCTTAATCATGTTCATAGTTTAATTTTGGAACAAATCATGGGAAATTGTGAGTTTATCAAAGGATCTCGTGGCAACAGCTGGCAAGAAGTATCACGTACGATGCTGCGGAACATTCGGGATCGGTCCCACACAACCGTGCTTATCTTTTATTTCTTTTTATTATTGTTTGCTAACCTGTCCACGTCACGGTCCCACGCACTAGGATTTTCCACCTAATTCGTTCTTTTTCTTTACATTGATAACATTTTTCTTTACTTAAATTTAGTATCGGTCTTCAATTTGATAAAAATAGCCACTAAAAATTTATCTATTTTTAAATATATAAAAATTGAGAAAATTCTAGAACCCTCAACAATTAACCTTTATCTCAAAGAGTTAACTACACCGATCCTCAAATTATAATCTTTATTTTAAATTAACCCATATATTTTTAAATATTTTAATTTCATCTTCAAATTGTACTCACATTTAAATTGATCTTTATAATTTTTTTACATTCTAATAATATCTCCTGAAATCATTACAATGTTTCAGGATTAATAAAGATCATAATCGATTGATAATTTAAAATTTTAAAAATTAATTTAAAACGAGAGAGATGAAATTAAAATATTTAAAACAATATAAACCAAATTTATTATTATTTAGATATCTCAAATTTGAGTATCGATAAAAATATTAGCGTTCATTATCAATTAATTAAAAAAATTTAGACATGTATTATCTTGTATTTATAAATATATATATATATATATATATATATGAACCAATATAAAATGTAATTAATTTGGGGGAAAGTGATATGGTATATCGCTATTTGTCCACGCCATGCCACGTAGGCAGCGAATTCTAAAACGGCTAGTTGATTCCAGATTCTTCTGCCGAAAGCCGTTGAAGGGACGGGGAGGAAGAGATGGACCACCCGCCACCGTTCTCAATCAACGGTCACATGTATATAACTTAAAGTAATTTTCTCTCTTTTTCTTATTTTTTATAATTACCTTTTTGTGTGTGTGTGGGGGGGGGTTATGATTATCCCTTTGAAAACCCTGAAATTTTGAAAACCCTTAAGCACGCTAAGGACGTGGGGTCCATTTTACACGAAAGCAACCTCCTCCTACTTTTCCTTTTCCGATTCCACATTTTTCCAGAATTATTTTTCTTCTTTCCCAAGATTTTTTATCTCCAATTCTCATTTTTCTGTTGTTGCTTTCATGGGGATGTACTTCACATTAAATTTTTAATTTTTTTTTCAGTTCACGTAAATGTCCTAATCTCACCCCCCGTTTGCCGCAACTCCTTCGGCGGTAAATGCTGTTTTTCCCCCTCTACTTTTCTGTCTGATTCTCGGGAAAATAAATGGAAACCGAATTGTTTGTTATGAGTAGATAATGCCAAGACTTTCGTCGACGACAAGCTTCCTGATTCTTGCCACTCGCATCACAGGCGTCATTGCCAACTTTTTATGTTCAGTAAATTTCAAATTTTGGTTAAAATAAGTTTATTATTTACAAATATACTAATTTTAAAAGCATTGCTGATAAATGCCAGAGGCGTTATTATATAAAAAAACTAAAAATATTTTTTAAGAACAATATTAGTTAAAAAAAAATACTCAAACTACCCACATAGAAATATCTTACGTCTTATAAAATGTGTTTTATAGGATACGAGATCTATCAATTTTTAAAAAAAATATTTTTTAGTGATTTCTTGTGAAACGTGAGATTTACATATTAAATTATCAGCTCATCTTACGTTGACAGTTTAATGATATTTTTCTAATAAATTTGGTTTGAGAGGTATTTCTCTAGAAAAATAAATTTTGGTTTTTTTTATATAATAACTCCAATACTAGACATATTAAATTTACATATTTTTATTTGATTTTATTTATTTATTTATTAAATATTTTTATCAAATATTACGAGATTCATACAAAAATATCAACTTACGAACATAGATGAAGTGAGGGCGACGACTGAGACCGTCTTCTCTTAAAAATAATTTTAAATTCCTATATATTTTTATTAATTCGTATTCTCTAAAACTTTATAAACTTATGTCTTTTAAATTTTTAAAAGTTTATTTAATAACATAAAATTTTACGTTCATCTACGATTATAAAGAAAATAATACAAGTTCGACAAACATATGATAACAAATGAATTTTGACGAAAAATTATAACGATATTAATCATCGGTCTAAAAATGTCTCATTAAAAACTCATTAAAAAACTTTTAACATTTGAAATACAAAAGAGAGAATAAAAAAATTACTGTATATAAAAGGCATATTCTGACTTTGATATTTCAACATTTGATTCGAGTCCTCCATTGCTCATATTTTTTCTGTTGTTAAATGAAAACAATATCTCATTTTCTAGACAATACTGAAAATTCAAATTCATGAAGACTTCATAAAAGAAAAGTTCGTGAAGACTTTAATATTTAATTTGAGTCGTAAAAAGGGCATAAAATAAAATAAAGATGTCGGGAAATTGACAGAGAATCAGAGGCACACGAAATTACATGTACCATAGTTTCATATGTTGTTTGTTTTACATACATCACAGTGGCGAAGGAATGTAGTGGTGGGGACGAAGATTGACATTTGGAGATTACATGATCTTATCTATCCGGAACCGTATGTTATTGAGAGAAAAACAAGCATGGGGGGCCAAAACCATTTTCTTTTACCAATTTTTTTAGATTAATCGGTAACAAGTTTTATTTTTTCTTAAAAAAAATTCAAATTGAAACTTTACGAGTAAAAAGTATAATTGAATAAATAAGGGATTTATATAATAGTCGTATAGCGGTTTATCTGTCGTTATATCGCGATTATGCACGGTCAAAACGCTATAGCAGAAAATAACAGTGCGAACCAGAATCACACAAATGGCTTTGGGTTGTGTTCGAAATTTAGTGAATAGAGGTCAATCCTTGCAATAGCACACTGCTATTGTGTTGCTATTTCAATTTTTTCTACAAAAAAATTCATTTTTGTTTTTTTAAATCAACTCATTTAAAAAAAATTATAATTACGAAACCCGCAAATAACTATAATATCATTTGCTATATTGACAACCGTATATATATAAAACAATTGAAAATACAACCGCAACATCACTTTAAATCCATCGTAAAAACATTTTTGAAAATAAGTTCCAGTCCAGTTGGGTCTAAATTTAATCATATTTATTGTAATTCACCCTAATATGCTCAATCACCCTTCCCGGCCAAATAAGATGAATGACAACAAGCTCAGTTGACCTATATATAGGCTCCGGTGTTCGGTAAAATTGGCCAAATAGGTCAACCGGTGAAAGAATTGACCCATTAGATGGTCCTAAAATTAATTTGGGATTTACTCTAAACTCGCCCAAGTAATATTTTTTTATTTAAACTCATCATGTTTGACGTGATAAATTTTAAAAAATATTTTTTATTAAAATTTATCATACCAGATTGATAAGTTTAATAAAAAAATATATTATTGAAACTCGTCTGAAGCAAATTTCGTAAGTCTTAAATTAATATTAGAAATAGTCTAAAGGGCCAAATTTTTTACCCGCCTAACTTATTGGCGGATTTTGCCCCGCTCTCGGCTATCTGTTAGTTCATTGATGCCATACAACATAACAACACCCGTGGTACATATTATATGAGAGGACCCTCAGTCTTGAGACTAAATTATTTCAAATCAAAGGAAATTTTGATACAGTAGAGGACTAAAAGCATAATTATACCACTTAATCTAACTTTTGTAGATGAAGTGGAATTTATAAATATGTATCTATCTGGAATGTCCAAAAGGCATGTGAAAATTCTGGGGTTTAGCAATTAATATGTTTAGAATGTGACTACTGATGTTTTGTTTTGTTGTGTGTATATCCAAAGCTCTGGGCTGTTTCGTCTGCTTCAATTAAATGAGTTAATTACAGGGATGGATAGAGGTGCGTCTCACTCCTTAGAAATTTCAAATTATTTCGTATTTTATTCTTTTGGGTATTTTTATTAATTATCTAATGTTGCACTACTAAAATTTTATAATTTCATACTACTAAATTTTTAATATAACTTCTTAAGTTAGCATCACTAGCATAAATTTCTTCGTTCGTCCCTGGTTAACTACAGGATTGATCATTTTTGTTTGTATTTTTTCCACTTTTCCTCACCGATTTCAAAAAAATAATATTGATCACCACTGGTTAACTACCGTTAACAGATTAAATGACGTGATATTTTGATATAATCACACATTTGGTCCACGTTATTTAGACGTTCTCTCAAATCCAGTCATGCTTTTAATAAATCAAAATAAATTTATTCCTCCAATCGAATGACTTCACGTGTCATCGGTGCCACGTGTCATCGTTCAGTTGGAGGGGTTAGGTTTGTTTTAATTTATTTTAACATAAAACATATTAAATTAAAATAAACCTAAATCGTAAACTCAATGGTGATTAGGGATACCGATGACATGTGATACGATTCGATTGGAGGATTAAATTTATTTTAATTTATTAAAAGTATGAGTAAATTGAGAGAATACGTAAATAACTTGGACTAAATGTGTGTTATGTCAAAATTTATGCCAATTAACTCATGGTGATTATATCTTAATTAAATAAAAAAGTGGCCGTATATTATGTTCTTTGAAATCAACGAGGAAAAGTGGACAAAACATAAACATAAGTGATCAATCATTTAGTTAACCCAATTAAATTATGTTGTATTTTTTACATTTTTTTTAATTGAGATGGTCAAATCTTGAGACACTAATATTTATAGATTTTATGATTTTACAATTATATTTTTTTAATATAGTTATTAATATTCAATTTATTAATGGATTAATTTTAATATAATTTTTATTTATCATAAAATTGATCATTTCAATTTACTTTTTTTAGATTCATACGATTAAAATTTAAATCACTAACTTTATTTAAAGAACGTAACGTTTCGTCTCGGATCCAACAATTTATTGAAACATTCAAATGATTATTGGAAGCTTTTTAAAACTTGATATTCAAATATGGCAACAAATAATGGAGACATTGTTAATTGAGCCATTAGTCTCATAAGAGGGAAGAATTGCAATCTCTATACGTTCTGCCATTTGGATGAAAAGAACGAAGAAATTGATACCTAATGGACTTGTAACATAATTAATGAAGAACCATTCCAATATAAGCCCATATTATTTGATCCTAGCTTCTCTTTGATAAAAAGGATAAACCATATGTTTGGTCCCTAAACTTTACATCTTATTTTAATTTAATCCATAATTACTAGTCCATATTAGTCCTGGAACTTGGAAAATTTTCCCAACTTAGTCCCCAAACCTGGATTTTTATTTATTCTAATGACTTAACACTTTGAAATTCTAGCATGTCATCACATTAAAAAAATAAATAATATTTTAAAAAATTTAAGTCATGATACTATTTAAAGCATTGCACTTTCTGAAGGATTAAAATTCACGTATAAAGATAAAATCGAAAAGAATTACATAATTTTAGACTAATTTGAATAAAAAAGTTCAGTATCAAGTTAAGAATATTTGTCAAGTTAGGAACTAAGATTAAAAAATGTCATAGATGTTATAATTTTGAGCCAAATATGCTTTTATAAAATAAGCAATTATAGTGATTATACTTGTCATTATATATATATATATATCGTGATTATACTAATTATAGCCATTAGACTTAAATAAATAAATGGTTTAAGTTTAATTAAAATTTATACTCATAAACAAATATCTTTTAACTCAAGTAGAATGATCTTTTTTACCTCAAACCCAAATCTCAAACCTCAAAAATCCTATATCCTAAATCTTAAACCCTAAACTCTAACCCTAAAAATAAAAAAGTATTGTTTTACCGTAAATTAAAAAATATTTAATAATGAGTTATTAATTTTAATTAAATCTAAACCATTTATTTATTTAATCTAATGGCTATAAGTTAATGCAAAACTTATTAGATTTATATAGTGTAATCATATATATATATATATATATATATATATATATATATATATATATTCCAATAAAAAGTAGAACTAACTTGATGAAATATAAAATTCTAAAACTCAAAAATAATTTATCAACTATATAATTATGTTTTAAATATAATTTTGTTTCAAAAAGTTCTTTTGACATATTTGTTCTTATTAAAATGCTTTCAAACTAAAAAATAGTCATCTTTTTAAAAGTAAAGTTTTATTTAATATTGACTTAAATATACAAAAGATGCTAACATATGTCTTTTATCAGTTTAGTGTCTAATGTTTATTTCGTTCTAGTTTGGTGTATAATGTTTTATTCTATTAATCATTTAGGTGCCGGGCCATCAACAGAGTTACTTTCCTCATTAAGTGACACGTGTCACAACATGAAAATTTTAAAAAATTTATTTAAAATTTAAAATTTAAAAATTAAAATTATATAAAAATTAAAAAGAAAATAGAAATTTTGAAATAAACCCAAAACTTTGAAAACCTTCATTTTAACCCCTAAACCCATGTCGACCGTCGCCTTTTGCCGTCAACAGAACTCCACCCGACCTCCCCTCCCCTCGGTGACCAAAACCTCCATAAAATCATGACCAATCGACAGCCGATCGATGATGAATCAACGTTTTATACCCCGCGAACCCTAGGATGCAAATCGCGATCCCACATGATTCGGTCACGATTTCATGAGGGGTTTTAGTCGTTGAGGGGAGGGGAGATTGGGTGGAGCTTCGTCAACGGTAAAAGGCGATGACTGACGTGGGTTTAGGGGTTGAAATGAAGGTTTTCAAAGTTTTAGATTTATTTCAAAATTTGTGTTTTCTATTTTTTTTAAAAAAATATGTATATAATTTTAAATAAAAATTGTAAAATTATCTGGTTATGACACGTGTCACTTAACGATCTGTCATTGCTTGACCAATTTTGAGTAACGGAATGAAACATTAGACATCAACCTAGAACGAAATAATAGTTAGGCATTAAACTGAAAAAAGGGGCAAAAGTTGGACACCTTTTGTATAGTTAAGCCTTTAATACTCAAAGAGAATAATTCATTAACCATAAACAGTATCAATCAATACAATACTACCAATACAATCCGAGAGATAACATAAGCAAAGTAAAATAGCATCCGAGTTAAAAACTCCAATTGTTCACGTTAGCAGTGCGTCGAATATATGTGATGATGCTAAACCAATCTTAAATGTCGGTTTTGTGGAGTAAAATTTAAAATTAATTGTTTAAGGGATACCGTAACTTTCAAGCTAGGGGTAGGTTTTTTTCTTTTTATTCGCTTACCTTTACAAGTTCTGTTCGAAATTCCCTTACCTTTATTCACCTATATATATTTAACGAAAAACGCTGTGTTATATTATTCTCCTTGTTGGCTCATTGTTGAAGCTAAGAGAGCGATATCCGATGGATGCAGATAAGAAAACTTGTTTTTGACTCGATCGAACCTTTTTGATGTTTATGCTTTACTGTGCAGTCCAGAGCAACAAAAAACACTTCGTTGCCATGCTCGCTGCATTGATACTGCATGATTTCCTTGTTTTCATGCTCAAGCTCCTTCTCCTAGATGTTTATGCTTTACTCTCAACTCACTTAAACAACTTGAAATCAACAACTTACAATCAAAGCGTAAGTGCCTTAGTTCCCCCCCTCCCCCTACCCCAAACACTTTTTTACAGTTCTTATTTATGTTTGATGAAATCTTGCAGGGTATGGATAACAGCATGAGGGAAAAGGGGGCACTCGAATTATGCACAAAAGTGAAGGAAGATAAAAGAGATGGCAAAGGAGAGGGAAAGAAAGTTGCAGCATGTGAGAATTGTAGGGGGCTGCAAGAGGAAGAAGCAGTGAAAGCCAAAGGGAAATACAAGGACAAATACAAGAATAAGTTGCTGCAAGGGAGGAGAGATTCGAGAAAGCTAAAAGCTCGTTGAAAGATGCATACAATGAGGATAGAGACAAGCGGGAAGAAAGAGAAAGCTGCTCAACAAAAAGTATCAAGAGATGCGCTGGACATAAAACCAAACAAATAAGAGAAGAAGAATACCCTTTAATTACAATTCTACAATGTGATGATTATGATTGTTATGATGTATGTGTGCATGTGTGCAATTATAGAGAAATTGTATGGCATTGCATATTACACGACACAAGAACCAAGAGGCAAATTATGAAATTCTAATTATATTACGATAATAGATGGTGGAAATGTTCAAATAAAATCTTCTAACAAGTAGAAGATGTTGATGCATAGAACACACCAACCCAGATAAAGCCAGCTCTCATTGTTCCCCCAACTTGAAAACCTACAGATGAAACCCGAAAAAATCAGAAACTATGGTCATATCAACATTTAATTTAACAGCTTCCCTATCATTCGAATGCCCACTGATTCTCCCTCCTAACCTCCTCCTCCTCCTCCGGAGTGAAATCGTTCTTGATGTTGAACGTCTTGCGAATCTCCTCGGGTGTCTTCCCCTTAATCATGTCAGCCACAGTTTGGCAGGTCAAGTCCAATAAGCTTTTGATATTCAGATAGTTCGCAGCCTGCAAATCCCAACATCAAAATATTCAAAGGTTTAGTGCACTAATCAAAAGTAAACCACAACAACATAAGCAATCACCTACAGATTTAAAAGTTGAATGAACATTATCAAGATCAATAAGCCATTGTTACAGGAACGTGGACCTTTTGGTACAAAGAACAAAAATTTGAATGCAAATAGCTACTGGCGTGCAGGGATTAACCGAGGGGGTGCTGTGAGTGCGGTTGCACCCCTGGAAATATGAAATTCCCACATAATTTAGTTATTTTCTTTGTATTTTTTTATCTAATTTCGCACCCTTAAATTCCTAATATAATTTCCTAAGTTCACATTGATATAAAATCCCGAGCCCGTCTCGCTTTGAAACTTAATTCCACATGATAGTGACGGTTTTTTAGAATTTACATTTCATAACTCCAAGCAAACTTTGAATCTTTCAAACAACTTGTTTCACTCAATAAGTATATTAGTTTCCCGTAATTGAGACGTAGGTAAATCATGATTTCTGCCGAAAGAGCAATAAACGGATATGCTTACGATTTCAATTAAACCCAACAGCCCTAAATTAACAGCATTGTGAATGTCAACTACATAATTAGGGCATCAACAAGAACAAAAGAGAGTCAAAGGGGGGGGGGACTAACCAAGATGAGGTCAAAGAGGGTATTTTGGTCAACTTTGACAAAATCAGCATCCCAAGCCTTGATTTCATCCTCGGGGTTCTTTTCCTTGTCGGCAGCGGTATCGACTTGCTTCTTGCAGTATTCAATGACCTTAGATAATATCTTGCTGGTGACGTTCGGCAGAGGGATCTCGTTGTCGGCGCAGTCGTCCTCGATCATGTGCTTTATCGTCTGCGACTCGACCGCCACGGCTTCCTCTACCTCGAAAGTCTCGCCGTCGGAGCTCCTCAACATTATCTTCTTCGAAGTCGCCGCCATTATTTCATCCAAAAGATTCAACCACTTGCTGTGATATCGGATTAAAAGAGAGAGATGACAAAATTCAGAGACAGCAGGAAAATGCCAAATAATAATAATTTAACTCTGATTGAAACTGGTAGAAGGGTGCCAGTACAAACGCTGTCGTTTTGGATATACAATTCAAAAGAGGTTCTCGATGTTTCTGTTCGTCTTGTATATTATCTACAATATACATAAGCTTACAAATTAACTTTTAATAAACCATAATAATATCATTATTATAACTGTTATTAGAGATAAGAATTCGTGAAAAATTTTGAATAATTAATTTTTAAATATTAATAACTCTTTAGGTGCACTATAAAATTTATATTAAAAAATATTTACAATTTTAATATGATTAGATTAGATATGTAGGCGTATGTAATAGAATAAAACTTGTGAAATAGATAAAATTATATTAATTATAAATTATAGAGCTGTTCTTTCATACATACATAACAGCAAATTGTACGTATATAAAAAGTGTACACATACATGGTAATTGTCACTGTCATTCTAACATGAACTAAACTCGGTATAACCCCGTCCGTCATATATTCGTAGCAGACACTGCTTGGACGGTGACGGGTCGACCATCGGTGCTCATAGCTTTGAAACGGGTAAACCTGAGGCAGAAAACATGATTGATCAATGAAGATGAAGTTATAGAGTCATATGTCCTGGCACCTGCAAATTTTTGGAGGGTGATAATGTTTGAAAAATGAATGTTACCTAATGCTTTTCGCCTTGACGATGCTCGGACATGCAGCAGGAGGTGGAGCGTCTCGTTCAAGAATGGTTCGATTCGGTTTGGATCACCCCAAATTGTATATCCTTTGATCTTGCCTGTAATGAGGATAGAGGAAGCGTGGGAATGCTTAGAACAGCAGCTATCGCAGATGGAAACCACAATAACAGATTTAGCTTGAATAACGTGAGAAGCAAGTTATTACCAAGACGTTTTGAGAAGCTAACGTTGCCATCCCCTCACGAGTCCACTGCATAAGCACGAGGAAAGAACATTACAATCTGATAGGTTACACGAACCCGATACGTGAATCCTAGCAAACATTACATTGGAAGCAGAAGCAATGTGTGGTACGACAGCAGCATTCTTCATCTCAGCAAGCCCAGGTTTCATGAAAGGTTCAGCCTAATACCACACCATTAGTGAACAATTATGTACTAACCTGAGGGTGGTTTTCGTGTGGTTGATTGATTTGCGATTCAAAAGTTTGTAAACTCACCTCAAAGACATCAAGACCGACTCGGAACATAGGATTTTGCATCAGATGCTCAACAAGAGCCACTTCATCTACCACTGGTCCCCTGCTACAGTTCACTAGGATTGCTTCCTGCAAAATTATAGTCCAATTCATATTACCTTAAGCAAGAGATATTTTCAAAGTTAAATGTAAAGGAACGGTTGATATTCCTTGAGGTTCCGAGTTCAAGCACCAGGAGTGCGAGTGTTCAATATCAAATAGATGAGAGTTATCTCTGGACATATACTACCTTGTACTTACTCCAGATTAATAAAAAAAAAACTTGCACTTCGAAACCACATTAAGTACTCTAAGCAAACAAAATCCTACCGCATCTGCCTCCCTGAGCACCTCATCCATAGTCGATGCTCTTTTCAAGTAAACGGGTTGCTCTCAATTGCTTTCAAGAACTCACTATAAGCTGCAGATCCGATACGACCAGCTCCAATTACACCGTCTGTCCTTTAAGCAAGTTTCCCACAAACCTGTATGAGACATAAGTGGAATTAAACAAGCAACGACATTTGATTTTATTTTCTAATTAAGCCTTTTGAATGTTTTAAATTTTAGAGAAAATAAACGATTATGAAAGATTCGGTTTCTCTAAGCAAAAATAATTTTTCATTTTAAAAGACTATTTTCTTAAATAATATAAAGGAAAAATTCGATAAAGATAGATGACTCGTAAGGTATCTTCTGCAAAGTATCCAAACGTCAAGATTATGCAGAACAACGGAGAGAAGGGTGCAACAAACATCGATTATTCCGACTCACTTTCCCATTGAGAAAATTATCTTTCATTATCCCAACATTTTTAGAACTAAATATGCAAAGATGAATTTTAGAACTAAATATAATCGATCCCCATTTTCAAGTTTTAGTTAAAAACCTTATTTTCTGCCTTCCAAAACTTTATCTTGAACAAACTCTCAACTTTCTCTGCTAAAATCTTCACCCTTTTTAAAGCCTTAAACTTCACAGGGAAGCCATGGAAAGGCTTCTGCAATCTTCTTCTCCAACCCCTTTGGAGATCTCTCGAAAGTCCTCTCCTTTTCTCTGTTGACTCGGTAGATTCGACTCTCCTAAACACTGTTTCGTTCCTTCACTCACTCGGCCACAACTCGAGCGAATCATCTCAGTTTCATGCAAGGCAGATAATGACCCATCTCACTCGGCCACTATTTTTGCATCTTCTTGTTAAATGAACTAGGCCTTGCCGATCGAACTTCCTGATAAGCCGAAGAAGAGTTCTACTTGCTCGTGTACAGCGGCATATGGAAGGTGAAAAAACAGCCATCCATGTCGTTTGTGTAGAGCTTATCATACCACGAGCTGATTAAAATTATCATAGGCAACTAAGACCATTAAGATACTGATATTGCTTGTGGTTGATTGTGGAGTTTTTTTTTATCATAGGTAGAACTGAGACAACTCTTACATTTTTAAATATTAATTCATCCACTACTGCTGACTAGATCCGGGTAGATTAAAGTGCGGCCTATGACTATGAATAGATGTAATTTAATCTGAAAATCCCTGTCAAAGCTAGCATCCCATGGATGTGTGATACTTTTGTTATGCATTTGTCACATTTAGCATAGCATTTTTCAGTTTATTAGGTGTAGACATCAATTTTTTTCATTATTATTATTATTATTATTAAATTATATTATTATATTATTATTATTATTATTATTATTATTATTATTATTAAATAAAAAATTACATAGCCTAATTACATTCAAACCCTAAGGCTCGAGAAACCCTAACCCTTTTAGGGTTTTCTGAAAATTCCAGCCGCCCCAGCCAACGGTTCAGCTTCCAGCCGCCTCTGATGATTCCAATAGTCTCCAGCAGCAGCCGACGCCTCTACCAGGTGTTCCACCCCGCTGTAGCCACGACACCGCCGCCTCAAAGAAGCCTTCAGAAGCGCCACTAAGCCATCCACGTTGCTACCCTATGGTGAGTCACCACCATAGTTCGGTGACTCACCTAGGGTCACTCCTTTAAACTGGTCTAAGAGCAACACCGTGATGGCCTATAAATATGGCCACTACACCTGCAAAGAAAAAAAGAGAGACAGAGAGCTACGACAGAGGGCAAGAACCCGAAAGGAGAAGAAAAAAACCAGAAAAGAAGAAGAACAGACAAAAACATAGAGAACAAGAACGGAAGCCAGAGACCAACAACAAGCAACCACCCACAGCAGCCAAATATTGAAAGAAAAGAAAGGAGAGAAACTTACCGAGGAAGCCACGACCATCAGATCCCTCCAAACTGCCGTCGAACAGTGAAAATACCGAAGGTATTTTCTTAGATCTAGGAAATTCCATGGATTTTTAGGAAAAATGGATGCCGGATTTTGCCTTAGAACAACAAGATCTATATCCTAGGGTAATTTGTAAGTTTCCGGCCACCGCCTACGGTGGCCGGCGGTGGTGCCGACGCCGGAATAAGGCGACCAGTCGGTTTCCCTCGTCTGAGAAGACAGAGAGAATTGTTCTCTCTCTTTTTAGAGAGAAAGAAAAAAAAAAGAAATGAAGGGCTTAGAGCCCTTCTAGGCCGGTTAATGGGTTTATAAACCCTCCCCCATACGGCGTCGTTTTGGGAGTGTGTAATTTTCCTACGGAAAAACCATACCCGCAGTACTCCAGGTTTTATAAAGTTCTATTTTAGTCACTGGAATTGAACTTTTTATGCATTTTGATTTTGTTTTCGAATTTTATTTATATATAATTTAGTCATTATTATTGTTTATATATTTAGGGTAAATAATAAATTTAGTCCCTTAAGTTTTAATAATTATTATTTGAATCACTGATTAATTAAATAGGTTAAATTACACTATTAACCATTGTCTTTCATAATATTTCGAATTATTATCTTTATTTTTAATACTTTATATTTAGTTTTATAATTTTAATTTCTTTTATTTTGATCATTATTTAATTACAATATTATTTTGTTATTACTTTTATATTTTAATTATGGCTTTAATTATTATTTTTTTATTATTATCTTAGTCTTATAAATATATTTATATATAATTGTTTAAATTAAATATTATAAAAATTATAATTTATTTTTATTTAAATCATTTTTATGAAAAATTATTACATTTTTAATATTTATTTTATTTATTAATATCGAAGAAAAGAGCTGTCTTAAAGCACCTAGAAGTCCTTTTCTGATATTCTTAAATAAATAAATATCCTGTTTTTATAAATTATAAATTAATTATTTTTAGAAAAATGTTTTTTATTTATTTATTTATTTTTTAATATCGAAGAAAAGAGTTGTCTTAAGGCACCTAGAAGTCTTTTTCTGATATTTCTAAGTAAATAAATATCTTATTTATAAAAATAAAGATATGTATATATTAATATATTTTCTTAAAATTACATTAATAAAATTGAAATAACGGGATTATGAATTAAATATATTTTTAAACTTTTAAAATTTCCAATAATAGAGACAATTTATAATTAATAAAGTACCAATTTTGGGCGTTGTAGGGGTGCTAATCCTTCCCTAAACGTAACCGACCACGAATCCTTTTTTATTATTAAAAAGAACGAATCTTTGGTTAAAACGCAGACCGGTTTATCTTTTGACTGATGTTTTCTTAAAAGCTCTTTTAAAAGATAATTTTTAGGTATTCGACCTAACTGACCCAAAAGGCCGATGGCGACTCTCAAATCATTTTAAAAACAATTTATTCACATCACTTTTCCCTCCGAGTAAAAATTTCGTGCCCGGACGAAAGCCGGTTACGACAGCTTGGCAACTCCGCTGGGGACCTGTCAAACTTTAAAATTAATTATAAATTTTCTCTATTAATTAGAAATTAAAAATTCATTTATTTAATTTTTAATTCTTTTCTTTCAAATTTTTATTACTTATGATTTTCATAATATTTTTTATATTTTATATTTTTACTTTATTTTCAGATATTAAATTTTTTCATTTAATTATTTGTCAAAGGTTTGAATATTTCTCTTCACACACAACACTTGCATTGCATAACATAAGCTTTCTAATCAAGCTTGTCCCTTTTAAGTGGGAGTGAAAGCGACGTCTTCGTGAGAATTTATTCTTCGTGTCAGACCTAGCAAGTAACTTTCGGGGTTCATATGCTCTATGTCTTCGTGATAATTTATTCTCCGTGTCAGGCATAGAGAAATGTGTCCCCTCGAATTGAACTCAGTCCGCTTAAGTCTGTAGTGGATTATGATTGAGGGTTGGCAGCCCAAGGGGACATCAACAAGGACAATTCGAGTACCTTTACTCCTAGAACTGAAACTCTGCATATAATAAACCCCAGAAACTCTCATGATCTGAAACTATGCCAAAATTTTGTCCAAAATAGGCGTACACAAAGGAGAAATAAGTTCTAACTTTTGTTTTGTATTGATTTTTTTTTCTGAATAAATGCATGTGAATTGGTAATCATGTGGTTAGGTTAATTTTTCCAAACAAAGCATGAAACTAGAAAACATGAGGTTAGGATTTATATACCATGATAGATATGATTTTATCCCTCTTTTTATTAATTGGTACTAACCAGTTTATTTTTTTCCTTTCTCATTTTTTATTACTCTAACATGTTTGCATTAATTTGTTTTGTTTGAATTGCATGATCATGACATAACCAAAAGGTGTTTACTTGAAAGACTGTTCATCAAATTGGAAAGAAATAGTAAATGGACAAAAAGTTTTATGATCAAACAAAATATGATTCGGCCAAGGAAAGACATCCTGAGGAAACTCTGAGGATAGAAGCAAGCAATGCACACATAGATCCTGTTATATTAATACCAAAAGTACTCCACAAAGATCCTGCCAGATTGATACCAAAAGCAGTCTACAGTAAGAGTATCAGTCGGGACACGCAGAATAGAGGAGGTTTTTATGAAGCTCAAGCATGTTGTTTAAAGGATCAAAACAAGAAATTGAGCACAAAAATGGAAGCCATGCATGAAGATTTCCAGAAGATCAGTCAAGCCTTTCGAAATGCTGGCATAAGAAACACCCCAGAAGAGTGGATCACAGGGGTCACCAAGCTGAAAAAGAACTGCAACATATATGAAGATCTTGTTCAAGAACTTCTTGGACAGAAAGGTTCTCTTACAAGGGAAAATGAGCAACTCC